TTTTATGCAAATGTTTATTTCTCTTTCACTGTTGACCATAGATACATGTACTAGGTACAGTGCGGGAAGATCGATCGGTACAGGTTGCTGCGTGTCTAGCCAAAAATGTCCCCATAATGACAACTTGGGCTACAAGACAAGAACCAAAATATTCCCTACATATCAAAGCAACGAAATTGACCCAGCCACATGTATCAGCAGTACCTAACACACTCACCTATTTTCTTCTTTTTGCAACCCCCTGTTTCCTTTTATATCATGCACATTTAAAATAAAAGCTTTAAACAGAATAGGGAAATACTGATTCACATACCTTTGTTTTCAACACTTGAAGTTGGCTGTGATTGAGGTGAGACAGTCACGGGTGTAGCACTTTTTACCAGTGATGGATCTGTCATATCCCGTTTGCTTTCATCCTTAGTACCTGGTGAGACGGTAGCTGTACTTGCAACATTTAGAAGATCTTCAGCCGAAGAGAGTCTTTCTCTGCGTCGTGATTTTTCTAATTTAGCTTCATTGGAATCTGACCATTCCTGCTGACAGTCAGCGCCTGAACCGGACGATTTAAGCTTGCATGGATTCGATTCTTTCCATTTCATTAGAATGCTGCTTCCGTTTTTTTGGAGTTCAACAATATCTAACTCCGCCATGAAAATGCTGAACTTTTTTCTTTTCAACAACGCACTATAGTGTTCCTCAAAAGTTCTCCCAAACTTTTGCTCATACTTACACTTTAATTTAGAAATATTCAAACAATTACCGTCACAAGAACGTAAAATTTCAACAACCTCTTTCTTGAGTTGATCCAGTGTTCCTGGATTCTCGGTCGATTTCGAGCCACTCGCCATAGCTGCTAACAATACCGCGACAAAAGATGCTAAACAATGGCAAAGCTTGTCAATTGCATAATAGAAACGTGCAAAAACTGATCATTCGTTCTAATCGTTCCCCCAAACTTTTCGTGTCAAGAACTGGCAGGTTCGACGTCGGTATGTTCTAGCAAAACCTCGCCGTCAACTGTGGTAAGACCTTGCGTGACAATGCAAAAATTACCGTTACGTCAAAACCACAACAGGTTGGTTTAAATGCTCACCCTATTAAAAACACAGAAATTTATGGCATCATCTTTCCAAGAAACCGGTTCATGCTCTTCGAAAGGTTTCTGAGAATCATGATTTCGATCAGGCGTTACTTCTTGATTATTGTTCTCCATTTCCTCGTTCCTACTCTTTTGCAACCAATAGCCAGTGCAAGTCACGTAAGCAAAATGGCGGACAACACTCGGTAAACTGTTCCTACAACCTCAAGTGATACACTGAAATAGCTTAGTTCCTGTACATAAACAAATAATAAGAAACTGAGTGCCGTCATAATGGCGGATAGCGAAGACGAAGAAGTTCCCCCGCAGAGAGATGTGAAGGTATTTTGTACTTTTAGCTTCATCACATGGACACATGACATGGACGAATTTCAGATTGGTTCAAATAGCGTACGATGAGACACCTTTTATGAAACTTTCGACAACTCCTGGAAAGTCCAAGATAGTTCGTGTTAAATTCTTATCAACATGGAGTTTAAAAGGACACAATTTCCACAGTTAAGGTTTAGAACTCCAAAAGAACCTGGTGCTGGCAAACTGTTGCAAAGAAATAGTTTGACCTGCAATTCAACTGGCTTCACTTCTTTAAACACCATTTATTTTTTTGTTATTTTAATGAAATCGTCTTTTAAAAGGTGGTTGGGCAATCAGTTTTTTTGTTGCTTCATACGTGTTTGCGGTATGGCACCAGTCAACATGTGTATTCGGGAAGCTGTATCAAATAGCTCTCCAAATGTAATGTACAATTATGTTTAACTTTGTATCAGTAACAGAAACTGTAGACTTCCTGCATACAATGTACTAGCCGTAAATTGTATTGAGTGTTATGATAAAGTTCAGATATAACGCGTGCTGTCGTTGATTGAATGAGCGTGCTCTGTCAGAGTACAAAACATGGATAGAAAGGGTAAGTTTAATTTCTAAAGAAACTGTGGTGCTGCATTGGTGGGAGAACATAATGAGGTAATTTGGTATTCTCATTTGAGTTGGTAACATAAATTTGCCACCATTAAGAGTTTCAAAGCTGACATTTCGAGTGTTATCCCTACATTAGAGTCCTTCACTATAGCTCTGACAAAGGGCTAATGTTTGAAACATCAGCTTTGAAACTCTTAACAGTGGCCAATTTATGAAACCAACTCAAATGTTAATACCAAATTACCTTACAAAACATGGAACTGAGCTAAAGCTGTCACGCAATCTGCCAATTTGTACTATTTCCCACCACTATCCAGACTTCTCTCTAGCTTTTTTTTGTTAATTGAAAGTGAAATTTCAGAACAAGTGAGCAAACAAAGATTGGTAAACATACCAAGTGCTGTAATTGACATTATTATAATGAGAGAAGAGACAAAAATCCTTAAAGAGAAAGCGAACAATCTGAGTTTTTTAAGCTTATGGACATTACTAAAAATCAAGAACCACTAAAACTGGTATAGTATAAATGGTTTTTGTCATAAAAATAAAGACAGAACAAAACATGAATGATGAAAGTGTAACCAAATTGGCATAACTGTTAAAACTCATACAAATCATGATGGTGTCAGAGTGACTGCCATCATGGCTAGCTCATCATGGGGATCTCTGGTCATTGTGGTGAAGCAAGCCTCAGAAATTAAATCAGCAGCCCTTGAGTGAGCAACTAAGAGCTTGCTCTGATATCCTTGTTGAGGTCACATCCATTACAGAATTGGAGTTTTATGGCACTGTGATCCCAAGCAATGTTCATGTTGCTTAGAATTCAGCAGTTGTTTAGTCATAAAACTCACATCTTAAGCAGTTTGTTTCCTATTTGTAATGTGAAAAATCTTGTGTGTTTTTATAAGCCACAATTTGGCCCTATTGCATTCAACATTTCACTTTCAGACCCTGTATTCAGACTGATAAAAAAAATTCAGGCAAAAGTGTTATGTTCAACCAGCTGAACTGTTTAAGTTTGTGAACTACTTCAGATTGCGACCTTTGATGGTTTGACATTGTCAACAACTTTAGTCTTGTTCAACCAATCAGATTATCTGAGCCATTCTAGCAAGGATTCTGATTGGCTTAATGTAGCTTATTTTATGAGAGTATCGAGCATGCTAATGATACTATTGTTATAAACTAGAAGTGATGCATGGGGAATTTAACGGATTCTCTATTGTTAAACAAATGGAGAAGCCTTTACAGTGCTCTGTTTTGTTGTAAAGCAACTTAGTAAGCAGCTAGAGCACAAAAGAACTGAGGAGAAACACTGTTGACTATGTCTTGTGTTTCTCCCTACACTTCTTTTGTGCTCTAGCTGCTTCTGGGATGCTTTACAACAGGACAGAGCACAGTCAAGGCTTCTGTAGTTGTTAAATATTTTTTAACATTTGTGTTGAAATATTTTAATAGTTTTTCAACAGGATTTTAGCTTCAAACAAATGAGGAAAATGAGAATGTTTGATTCACCAATAAATTTACCCACTGCTCGCTCAAGCTTGCTGGCTGTTTCCACCAAGTATGGGTTGACATTCATCGGCTGCCCTACAGGTATTTTGAGACCATTTTTGTTAATTTGTTGTTGATTTTTGTTTTGTTTTGGTTTTGGTGTTGAGAAAATGTAGTGGACAAGTTAAAAAAAAAATGTGCACAATAACAGTACTTATACAAAAACCAAGGACAATTAACTGAATGAGAGCACATTTCAAATGAGTGTCCTTAAAACCAAACCTTAGTAATCAATAAAGCCAATGAGATGAAAAGAAAATATCATAACGAGTCAATGAAAATTTACAGCAAAAGTAAGTAGACTGCTCAAAGCAAGTTTTGAATCTGATTGTTTCAGAGGATAGCACAAGTTTTCTCATGCAGGTGTAAATCTGGCATAAATTAAGCCTGAAAATCATCAGATTACAGCTGGATGTGTTATTTTCCTTAAACTGAATTTTCTTTTCTGATTGCCTCTGGTGATAAGAATGATGTATGTACAAAATTTGATCAAAGTGTACATATTTACATATGTGTGGACCAAAGACAATATTAAATCACAAAAATTGCATCAATTGCATATACATGTAATTTCTTCATGGGATATTTAATGAATTACTATTGTGCTGCCTATCATTGTTTTAAATTTTTAAATCAAGATTATTATTAAGTGTCAGGAATTAATTGCCATGAATAAAAGTGAAAAAAACTGAAACCATTGAAAGAATTAATGAATCTGATGAAGGAAGCATGTACAATGTTGGTAAGTTGAAGCAGCTCCTTAGCATAACTATTCATCTCTTTACCATTTGTAGAATACTGATAGCAGTTCTTTCCCTTAGAACACCTCCCTCCCCATCACATGTCCCACTCTAGGCCTGTTTATCATGACACCAGCATGGGTCACTCTGCTGTTCTTTCAGAACCCTGTTTGCTTTTAAGGGGGCTGAATTCTTTGATTGTTCCATGCTACAATATTTGTCCAGTTCTTTACTAAAAATTTTTCAAACAAATACCCTTATAGGCCAGTATAATCAGAGTTAGCTACTTATATCATTGCAAAATAAAGGTGGCTCTGAACTTACTTGTACTTTACAGAATATTAAAAACATGAATCTTTAAATGCAAATAACGATAAGCTAATAAAAAAGCAGGGATACATGCATATCAAACTTGCTATTGGTAATTTGTCACAAAACCAGTGGTACATGTGAATTACCTGAATGCAAGTAATCAACCACAACCGGTAATCTGATTGTATCTTTCAGTGGCCAATTGCCCTTCAGCCCTCAAAGAAATTAGTCATCCTGTACAATTTGTGGGTCTCAGCAGTGATGATGTGACTCTGCCTCTCTGCTATGTGGATGGAGATCAAACTGTCATATATTTGTACAACATTCCAACACTTGGAAGCTCTGTATGTTGTACTTTTGTAGACCTGTTTATCATGACACCAGAATCTGTTTCTGCGGGTTTGCATAATAAAATTAAAGAAGCAATTGTTCCTCTCTCTCTCTTAATCATTTAGATGGAATGACGTTGGCCCCTTATGTGTAAATAAGGAGATCAATTAACAGTTAGACTGCATTTTATTCTTCCTTATAAGGACGACGAAACTACGCTATAAATTAATGCATTAAGGCTGGTCTAAAAAATTAGGGTTGTTGATTCCTTTTTTATAAGGCTTGTCCCTTGTGGAAGAATGGGTACATTTGGAAACGTATAGCATAAATTGTTTGAGGGTCATTAAAATATTAAACGCAAATAAAATGTACAGTCCGATCAAAATTTAGATTACAGTGATAAAACATTGGAGTGACTTCAATTTACAGTAAATGTTTTTGAAAAATAAGCAACTTGGAAAATTGAACACCATATGTAGAACTGGATTAAGGTCAGCTGATGTACCTCCGCTGTCTTTTTTGTTGTTTTCTCACTACACTTTTCTGTTTGATGGTTTTCCCATTATTCTGCGCTACCATAGGCTTTCTCTTTTTGATCTCAAGTATTGTGCAAGTTATTTAGAGTCAAGATCAATTCAATTGTTTCCAATAATTCCCCTTTAAACCATGCAGTACGAGGAAAATGTCAAAATTAAACGATAGTTAAAAACTTAAAATACCAAATGAAACTATGATCCGACTTAAAGAGAAAATAAAATTTTAAAAAATCGAAAATAAATACTATTCGTAAAAACGTCAAGATTGCAAATCTGTAGCTGATTGTTCACTACATTGTTTAAATTCTCATTATCTTATCGGACCATTTCCCTTTTTCTTACAAGGATTTTGAAATATACCGCTAAAACTGCATCATCTTAACTTTCTAACAACCTAATAACTTTTAGATTACCCAAAAGTTTTCATTCATAGTGATGTATTGTTACTCCGCCCACAATCTTCAGATAACCATACACAGTTTTACGGTCTTCTTCTCTAAGTGGGTGGCAAGATTTTGCAAACGGCGAATTCGAACAATATCAGGTTTGCCTGCATTAAAAACACGATAAAGGTGAAAGGCGACTTGGTGCTTCAAAGCGAATTGAAGTTCCGGAACGGACAGCTCGAAAGAGTCCTTTTGATCCGAGGAAGTGGTCTTCACTTCAACAAACGTTACAACAGTGCGTTTGTCGCTCTCCTTAACACCTGAGATATGTTGTCGAATCTCAATGTCGTACGGCGCAGTTGTGTTCCCGTTTTCGTTTATCCAGACAATTTCAACCAAGCCAGGAGAGTGGCCTCGTGCTTGCTCTTGGAGAAACTCGAACACACACTGTTCTCCCCAACGACCAATGTCTTCTTTGTTTGGGTTATCCAACAGCGGGATCCGCTCCAAGATCCTCTGATTATCATTAAATTGTAGATCTTCGAATTCAACTTCAGAAGGACCTCCATCAAACCAGAGATTGGAGCGGCTGGGAGACGTTTGCCTCGCTACATCGCCAGGAATGGTTACGAAAGTCATCTCCCCAGGTAGGGGCACTTGGGGTGGAGGGGGCTCCACGATCTTTGTATTGTGCTGACGGTTCTCAATTTCATTGGGCCACAAATCACTTGCTGTTTCGCGAGAACTTATCTGCTGGTTGTTCACCAAAGCATCTTCAACGATTACCTCAGGTGGTTGCTGTGCATCGTTTTCAGTACGCTGTTGCCTAGGGACGACTGCACCAGGATAATCCAGCGCCGGTTTCCTATCCTCTCCCTTCAGGGGATTTTCCGACATGGCCTCTGGCGCTCTTGTGGTATTAATATCACGTTGTGTAGGTCTCTGAACCAAATAGTCCTGATTCTCTTCTCTAAAGGGCTTCTCTACAGTTTCAGGAGGCTCCGGCAAGGGCCAAATCTTCAGAATGGGTTCACCACCGGGATCCCCTTCACGTTTACAAGCCTTGTCATATTGAGCAGACGATTTTGGTGGCCAGGAATGAAGACCATCGTCGCCTGACCTGGAAGGGGTGGCGGTTTCCTTATGAAAAGGAACTGCTTCATTCATAGCCTCTTCACTATCATCCATTACAATTTCGGGTACCTCAGGAGGTGGAACGATCCACCGTTCTTCGTCTTCCGGTAATGGCTCTAAGTCCTGCTTATCCTCCAAGTAGCTGTCAAGATCATTCCCACTGTAATTTTTCACAGCAACCAAAAAGTTGTTGAGGTCTGAAGCACCCGGTTTTTTCCCTCCAAACAACAGCTTAATCATCTCGGCATTTAAGACTTCTAAATTATCCTGATACTCTTGTACGACATATAAACAGAACATGCCCCCAGCCTCTTGTATGCCGGATTTTTCTTCAAGGGGAACGTGAACGTCAGGGTGTGTGGACAATGAATACACAGTTGCCAAACTTGGTACGGAGGCAAATTGCATCTGCGGCAGTTTCTGTGCAAATCCTTGAGAGCTTAGTTCGTTGTACACCGATTGATACCTGGAGTATAGGAAACGTTGCACACATGGGATGAGTTGGTGGAAGTGCTTCTGCAAGGGAACGCACTGGTATTGCACTGCGCCGCCTGGAGTAAACTCTTTCTTGACGCATTTACTCAACGTTGCTACTCCACAGCTATTCAAGAACGAGGAAACATAGTGCTTCATTAATTCATGGTCTTCTTGAGGCTTGTTTTTAGATGAGCGACGATTTTGAGGTTGATAGAAATCTCCAAACTCAAGAAAGTGGACACTTTTTTCCTTCTGGAAAATCTTCAAGAGACTTTTATCATCGGCTATTAGTGGCTTCTCAGAAAGAGCAACCCATTTATCCGTTGTAGGGAAAATGCGTATTTGGTCGTCTTGTAAGGACTGTTTCAAAAAGGCAGTCATATTTGCGTCGATCTGTTGATCAAGTCGCATTCTGTTTTTGTGGTCTCGTCCGACGCATTTACTTCCGAAGGTGGCAAAGATTTGCAACATATCCCTCAAAGATGAAGGAGAAGGAAAACGAGAAACTTCGGCAACAGTCGATGCCATTTCGATGTACTCACCCACATTAGGTGTCGCGTCGACACCGATATGATCAACAAAAAAGGCTGAAAGACTTTCCTGGGTACTTCGGCTTCGATAGAACATTTCCAATAAGGGCCTTGTGGTCATCTTGTCTTGTTCTTCAAGAAGCTTCCGAGAGACTTCTGTCGGATCTGTCCAGCAAACGTCTTTCTTCAGGTAAAAAAATCCAGCCGATTGGAGACTTGGAGGGCGATGTGGAACAAATATCATCTCATTCTTTAGAAATGCCTCGTGTATTTTCATTCTTTCTACCCCACTCTGATTCATTTTCTCAAGAAGAAAGAAATACACTCTGCTCATGTGCGCAACAGAAGTCGTAAATTCCTTTCGTTGATTTCCATCCATCCTTTCACAGCCGCAACCTGACCACTTCTTCATCTCATTTATCAGCCCATCCACGCCTACGTTTTCTCGAATTCGAAGAGTTTCTATGAAAGACGAGCTCTTTAAATCTGCTGCGACGTAGTTTACGTGATTCTCAAGTAGCTGATAAACAAGTTCACTCCGCACAAAGAGGTCTCTTGGAAGATGGAAGTCCTTCCCTCCAGCGGTGGAGGCCATCCACGGTTTGGTGACGAGATTCAGGTAAAAGGAAGATCGAGTTTCCTTGAGATTATGCCCGTTTGTATCTTCAACGTGGACAAATTCTTCAGCATACTGTGCGTACTCGTCACCCCAACGTTCATCTATGCACTGAGCCAAGAACTTTGACTCCTCAGGACTGATTCGTTGCTTAGCGTCAGTGCTGTCAATCTTTCGAAGAAATTCTTCAAACTGCTCGCAGGCCCAGTCATTAATAATGTAAAAGCCATCAGGGGTTGTCTGCCAAATGTTTTCGTAGGACGCCCAAGGTGTTTTAGCCTAAAGAAATAGAAAAAGGAGATATTTGGTTGAACGTTCTAACCATGCATAGATTTCCTATACTTTCTATTTACTTTTCTGAATGCATACTTCCAAAATGCACCTCTTAAGATGAAAATAAGAGACCTAGGTAATATATTATGACATAAAAACAATCTGGTATAAACAAATATATAACCAGGTGGTGCTGAAATAAAGATTTAAGAGCATACCATTGTGTCTCGATGTATCCTTACTGGTTTCCTTTTAATGGACAAAAAGTGTTTGACACCGAGCTTGGTAAGAAATTCTTTCCAATCCGTAGAACAAGCTTTCAATCCTGTATAACAGTCCAAGTACGATTCGTCAATAAGAGTCCACGAAATACCTTAACGGAGAAGAGAAAATACACATTTAATTAATTTCTACCTTCCTATCCGAGGGAACTGCAAATATCAAAAACAATGTACAACAGGAACACAACAAACGGTTGGAAGTCAGGAGTAACATTTGATCGTGAAGTCTGATTGTCTGGTTTAAAGGAGATCTGAGCGGGACTGCTATCCGTAGGAGTGACTGACGTTTCGATACTCTAAGCGGAAGTCATCATTACATTGACGACTCTGGAAAGATGGTCCACTTCTTAAACACTTAGACTCCTCTTACCAGCTATCAACAGTTACCAGTACCACACTAAAGGCTTAGTAACAAAATTTACACAACGAACCAAAAAACAGAACGACATAACTCTTCCGATGGATGGGAATTGACCCGGACTTACGCTACTTGAGTCAGCCGATAACATCACAGCAAAACAGTCAATCTTGCCGAAAATAGTCCGTCTCACGACCATTTTCACAGCAGAAAAATGGTGAAATTTATGCCAGATTTACACCTGCAAGAGCTCAACTTAGGGCAACACAGGTAAATATAAGGCGACTTACTGGGCAACCGGCCAGCAAGGTCAATTGTGCTTCCATATTTGGGCGTGAAATGGATCGACGTTGTTGTTGGGTTAAAAACACCCTTGTTCGTTAAAATCTGTACGCAGGACTTTAATTCATCCATATCACATGCAGAAGGGTCTTTCAAGCGCTCTTCCAGAATGTACACAAGGTAGCTTCTCAACACTTCATTAGACTTGGACTGTAAATCACAAAAAGTACATCCGTGTTGGAATCATATTACACTGCCAGCTCTCCCCAAGATTCCTCTAAAGTTTCCTAGTTGTCTCTTTAAAAATTATCTGGGATACGATATCAGATATCGAGATGAACATAAGTTTCAAAATTTTAAAGCCTCTGCGAAATGATATCTACGAGCGATGAATTTCTATTTAAGAAACCAATTCTTTACATGCATAAGAAAACTAAAGCCAATAAAGAAGCGTGAGACCGCCTTGGCCTCTAACTCTCGCATAAACATTCATCATTGCCAAAAGTACAATGCGAATTTAATACCTTCCACTTGTCTGACTTGAAAGTTGGGATTATGTGACTGTTGACGAGCTCCTTAGGGCTCCAAACTTTGACTCCTAAACTTCTCAACAGTTGTTCAACTTGAGAACGACCGATATCATCCAGCGAAGAGAACAAAGACGGGTGTACTGTGGAGAGGTCTTTCTCGAGCACCGAGAATGTCGTCTGCTCCTGAGATTTGGATCCTGGAGTTAGATATCAGAAAAATTTCATGACCAGAACGAAATCCTATATTATTTTCTGAAAATGAGAAAAAGCTTTATCAAATGCCAATTACTCCAGTATACTGATCTGATAATTTAAATCAAGCCGCTCTCCGGAGCATAGATTTACTTTTGGTGTACTACTCATTTGAGTATTGATATTTGGAATCCCTAATACGTTGAATCCCTCAAGATAACTCGACAAGAGCTATAATATGGAGGGTTTTTGTGCCATCCTCTTCCGAAAGAAAAAAGGCTAAATCATTTACGACAAAAAGTGAAGAGTTTAGAAATTTAAGGATTATACTTTCAATACCGTTTTTATGTGATGAAATCTGTATATGGACCTACCTTTCTTAGCCTTTGGAATAGCTCCCTCGGATATTTTCTGCAAAGACAACGGTAGGAAAACAGAGTCTTCCTTAAGGTTTACGAATGTGCCATCTGTTAACGGAATCACCTTGAGAGAACGAATTCGATCAAGCATTTCTTGACTGCTATTTCGCTCCTGCTCGAGACACCTATACATGCACTGCAACCATCGAGCTACCCAACCTATCCTCACAACATCCAGTTTGTAGTCCTTACTATGGGATGCGGCTTCATCTGATTCATTTGAAGCCTTTTTCACCTCCGCTCTGCCAATGTCCATCAAGTGCCTGCTGGACAAAGTCTCGATTCCAAGACGGGATCTAAGGGTGGGATTTAGCGCTGGAACAATTTCTGGGTGAAGGTAGCTCAACCCTAAGTGCTCCTTCAAAAGGGCAGGGGTTATGAGCTTCTGTATGATGCTGTCTTCGGAAAAAATAGCCTCAGTGGGGAGAACCCAATTGTAGCTCTTTCTATCATCAACTTCGGTCGGTACCTCAGTTTCGTTGCTGGACACGATTACAGGTATACAACACTTGCTTTGAAGAAGTTTTAAAATATGGCGAGCAACAGGCGAAAAAAAGTCGAGGATTTCCTCTTCAAGCGGTACAAATTGGAAATATGAAACCACCGAGGAAAGGCCGGAAAAGGATGGATGAACCTTTTGAGAAAGAAACAAATATTTCAATTACTTTGAAGTTTTAGTCCCAAAATTTCAAAATCTCAAGATTTGGATCCTTAATTTAGATGGTTTGAAGCTGGAAACAAAATGACTGATTGGAAAAACTACACGTCTTCCTACCATGAACACCGAAAGAGCGTCAATAAACAGTTGTGGAATCTCTTCCCTTAGCCACTGGTTCCAGGATTTGTCACTGTCGACATCCTCTCTAGACGAAGGAACCTCAAAGTCGCCTTGAATGATGAATCGAAAACCATAACTTCTCAGGGGAAGATACGCAAACACATTCTGTGGCGGCAGGTTCTGTAGATGATATACAGTAAAATACATTCTAAGCCCGCCTTCCCCTGATAAAAGTAAAAGTAGCCTAACGTATACACTCAAACCAAGTAACCCATCACGCTGGAGCTTATACTGGTTCTCGTGACATGAAACGCCTAGGGGTATCGTTACTATACTTGAATGAGGTAAGTGTTCATCGCAAGGTCACCTCCAGCGCGCTAACCGCTAGGTAACCGTGTCGTCTATAAAAGTCAATATTCATATAATTACAAAGTATGACCAAAACACTTGCTAGAGTGCCATTCGCTGTTTTCATTTTGCTCTAAGAAGATCATGAAATATGCCTAGGTTTACATGTACCTAGCTCTTGCGTCCCCTTTGTTGCAAGGGACATAGAGAGAACAGATGAGCTCCAGATCCCTTGTGCTACTTTAAGCGCGCAAATTTGCCAGATTCTATTGCCCTTGTCCTTGCCCCTATGACGACTAGACATTTCCCTTTCCCACAGCTCAGTCAATGTTGCATATTTTGCTTACGTGTTTTATAATTACAGTTTTATCATTTTTAAAATATTTCAAGCAACACTAAATTGGGGGAAGATAAGCCCTTCGAGAGGAAAATATTTTCGTATTTTTTCCAGGTGTATAATGTAGATTCATTTCAACAGAGATAGACATTTCTTCACAAGTAATTTTATTTCAGGGGGTTCCAGAAAACCCTTTTCACTTGGCTCTCACTCCATATCATTTTCAGGAAACACTAAAACAAGCCAAGAACTGAAGTGTAACATGGTGAACTTTACCTGATGCCTAATCCGTTGACTTGAAGTACTGCCTGAGTCATCAAACAAAGGGAAAGCTAGCGCCAGCTCAGTCATCTCTACATCCTCTTTCATCTGAATTGAATTAAAGTGACAAAAGCAATTAAAATAAGAAGTTCGGCTTTGGTAATATGCTTTTCACAAAACCCATTAAAATCTTAGACGATCGTACTCAGTGTAGAATGAGAGATTACGGCAATAAAACTAAAAAAAAGGAAAAATTCGTACAAATGCCGAATAAATAAATATGAAGACAGTGTAATGCACAAGTACTTGCAATCGTCCCTGGTACCACTTACATATCAATGATTTTAAAGATAAGAAACTTTGATTGCCGGCCTCATCAGCAGCAAAACGACAATACATTTGTACTTTTAAGCTAATCGTAAGCTGTCTTCTTACATTTGAGGCATCGAGCTGTTTTTTGATAACAAGCCACCGATCCGTGCCTTTGGTGTGCTTGATTTCCATGATGTTATCTCCCAGGTCCTTCCTTATCATTTCACTGCGACTGTTATGTACCTGGAGAAAAATTGAAAGGTTAGGCGATTTTCGGCAATTTCAGTCAAGTAGTAAAAGCAACAAATGTAGAGGGCATAAAGTTTTGATTTTGCCAACTTCGTGATCAGATTGAGAAATATGGAAATGGCTCAGATTTCAATCCGTTCAGAGAACCAAAAATAAACTGACTGGTTCGAACAAGAAAACCGTTGCATTGAAAGGAAGAAGAATTAGCAGAGGTGAATTTTACCTTCTACAATTTAGAATGTTATTTGACAATTGCGTGGTTCGATATCTGATGATGTTCATGGCACTTGCTGCTGCTATAAATAAGAATACCACCGACAACAACGGTAAGGAGCAAAAGGAGAACTGAAATTCACCAATATTAATAATGAATGCGTTGAGAGTTGATACTAATTACGAGTTTTTGTCTGGAGTCTTAATTACCTATGTTTGTATAGAAACCTGCTAAGAGAACAATGAGTATTTTAATTTGTTGACACAGAGTTCAAACCCACCTTGTCGTGAATAAAGATTCCTCGCAAACGATGCAAGAATAGCAAGAGTGAGGGACGGATATCGTGAAACCTGGGCGCCAGAGAGGACTTCTCGTTCTGTCGATGTTCATCGTTTAATGGTAGAACTATGCGAGTCGGCCAGCTACGGGGAAAAAAAGAGGGAAAAGAAAGCATTTTGAATAAACAATGTAACAAGAAAACAAAAAAACGAGTTCGCAGAGCGCTCAAGTGTCACCAAGGCTTTAGTTGAAGGTCTGGTTTAAATCTTTCCTGAAACAATTCGTTTTGAAAACATGCTAAGTTTAGACACCTGTTTCTGTGCGTGACAATTCACCAAGGATTCTCCTGTCGGAAGGGGTATAAAAGTCTAAACTTACAAGCTAAATTCATCCCCGGAACTGCTTGCTCCACTGCCATTATCTCCTTTCTCATCATCAACAGATTTGTCTCCCAAATCCTCCGTGGTTCGTTCCTCCGAACAATTGCCTCCAACCCACTCAGGAAGAATGTAACCAATTGGCCCGCTTTTAGCGTCAAATCGAATGTGATATCCATTGGAATGGACTTCGGGGCAATCAGTAACCCGGAAGACTGACTTAAAACCAATACCTTTTTGTCCTAAAATTGCGCAGAACAATGGACATCTACAATAAATTTCTATCACTCCATTTTGTAGGTCATAATACTGACCAAACAGAAAGGTGTTCTAAAAGTGGATTGTGTGTAAGTACTGAGACTCTGCGTTACACATTTCCACGTGAACCCATTCCTTTAGGAAAACCTTACGTTTAAATAGGCATAAATCTTTTACTTAATCTGTAGATAACCCCCTGTAGCTATTTGTGACTTTGAAACATCAAACTATTTTGTACGCAAAATCAA